AAAAATTGCTACTTTTCTGCTGATAATTTTGCTTAAACGAGGGTATTTTCGCTTGAGTGAGAAAACCAGACAAAAATTGCTACTTTTTTACTGATATTTTTAGTTGAGCAAAAACATGGCAAAGATTTATCCATTTCTGTTGTGAATTGTTGCTCGAGTGAAAGATTTTTTGCTTGAGCCAGAGTACAAATGAAAAAAATCTTATCCATTCTTGTGTGAGCGAAAAATTTTCGCTCTAGGCTAAAAGAAATATCTCTTGAGCTAAAAAAATGTTCATTTAAAAATAAAAAAACTCTTCCATTTTGAAAATAAGAAAATACAAATGAAAATTAGAGTGTTACATCCTTGATGCTACAAAGTACACAAATGAAACCCAACACTTCTCGACCCTTGCCGATATTATCATGATTGTGAGAGACCCATCCAGAATATTGAGGCTATGTTAGCTATTTTTTTAACTAAATTAAGTGTTATTGTCTTAGTATGGATGATGGACTTTTAATCCCTCCCTATGAATTAAAATGTCAATGTGGGTGACATTAGAGAATGGGCCCAACATGCATTATATTGGTAAATGAGATTATTATGAATAATGATCCATAAACTTGCACCAGCATACATTTGTTGTGATTGTTGTATTGGCTTATTTGTTTATAGATTCCATTTGGACGACATATTAATTTCCTATTGCTTTCTATGACTTGTTGTGCGAGTATGAACATGTATGCTCACCCCTCTATCTTTGTTTGGAACATATATGTCCTAATGGTGATGATAACTAGCGCTGGTGAGCATCCAAATTCTGTTACAAGTGATTGTTAGATTTGTCCTCGAGGGCAATTGGAGATATGATGAGAATTTTCACACCTCTATCTTTCAAGGTACGGTGCATATCATCATGCTCCATCCAAACCAAAGGCCAGACATACTACCATTATTCTAATGTGTCACTTCATTATTTTACTACATTATCACTAGAATTTATGAGAAAATTATGATAAGTTCATATTTTGATATATTTTATGACTTATATTTATACACTTAAATTCTATTTTATATATTTACTCTAATTATGTTATTAATTATTGCAGTTTAACTAGAAGTTGTTATTAGTGCATCATGGAGATATTTTGGATAAAAATTAGTTATTTTTAGTCCTTGGCAGTGCTATGTGAAGTTGAGTTTGAATTTTGAATTTAAAATTTAAACTTAGATAAAGATTTGAAGCAGTTTTCAGTTAAGATTTTGATTGTGGATAAAACTAATTTGAAAAGATAGAGCTCAACCAATTTGAAACTCAAGGCACAGTCTATATAAAGAGGCCTTATGCTCCACACTTACGATTTCGACTTCTCTACACACCTTTTTCCCCTTCTCCACATCTTTGAGAGTCATTGGAGAGTATTGGCAAGAACGACAAGTTTTCCCTTGGAGTACAAGCAAGTGATTGTGCTCCCCTTCAGAGAACGAGAACTATCTTCGTCTTTTATCTTTCTAGGTTTCTTTTATTTGAGTTTTCCTTTTTGGTTATGGGTTTATTTATTATATTCTTCATAGTTTATTTTGTTATGATTAACTAAACCCATAGCTAGGGCTATGGTAGATCCTACTACAAACTTTATGTGATTTTTACTTTAATGTTTGGTTTTATTCTATTGGATTATATTGTGTATTTTAAGATTTGATCATCCTTAGCATTCCATAGTTAGTTGCATTGGAGGTGATCGTACCACGTGTAATTAACAGAACTATAGGATAAAACGAGATTAGGGGCTAGGTTAATCATACTTAATTTCTTTCTTTCAGCCGTTATTAAATTAACAAACTTATAGGGTCTTCATGCTTTCTTGACTAGTTACATTGCATAATCATTGGGGTGTTTGCTCAGAGAAAAGAATATTGACTTTGCATGATAATTGGGTGTTAATAGAACTAATTATGAGTTGTTGGCAAATATTTGGATATCAATATCTGGATTAAATTAATTAGAACATAAAGAAGTGTAGTAGGTGAACTCATAAGTCCTAATCTCATCTCATCTGATCTCTCTCATACATTGTATTACAGTTCTTTTAATTTATTATTAACATTAAGCTCTATTTTTGGTCTATTACAATTTTGTTACGTTTAAACAATCGAATTAAACTATTCTTGGTATTTGAAAATAGTCTCTGTGGGACGATAACTTGAGAACTTTTTTTGAAAACCCTTTATTACTTTTTTATGGGTACACTTGACTACAAACAGACCATCACCACCACCTACACCTTTAGGGTCTTGACATTCATGTGTGTTGATGGAGATTCTTAAGGACAAATACTAATTATAGGTATCTATATTCTTTTTGTATATGTTTACCTGTACTTAACTCTAATAATGGTCCTATCTATTTTATTTTGGGCAAGATAAATTTATTATTTTATATATTTAAATTAGAAGTAGGAGATAGTTTATGTAAATTATTTATAGTTTTTTTGCACTTATTAATTTTTCGAATAGCATGACATGCATATGATTGATTCTCTTAATGGAATCAATAGATTTTGAACGATTCATATCACTATTATGCATAAGATTTTGATTCTCACACATGTATATTATGTCAATATTCTATTTTGTCACGACCCCTTTTATAAGGAACCGAGAACATTGTTTCTACATCACAAACTTATTTAAAATAAATAAAGTATAGAGAATATAAGTATGACATTCTCTTCTCATTCAAAATAAAACAGAGTTTCTTATAACAAATATCCAATAAAACAACACAATATTACATTAGTTCATAATATTCAAATACCCAAAATTATACTACGTAGCTCCCTCTACATGAGGTTTCAAAATATAAGGGAAAAAGGAGTTAGATGCAATATTACTCGACTTCAGCTTCTAACACTTCTTCACTGGCCCCTCAGCCTGTGAAGTAGATGCAACACCTGCTACATCTGCTCACGTACCACCGTACGATCATTGCAGTACACACGCACATAACGACATAGAAAGAAATGCAAGGGTGAGCTTACAAAAATAAAATAAAATCATATATATAAAGTAAAATATTTCTCACAGCAATAGCCCCATGCATTTCCAGCCCATCTAATGCACAACATGAAAACGGTTTCCAACTGGTTTTATAGCCTAAGTAATCCAGAAGGAACCGAGCCGGTCCGGGAGTGACCCATTCCGGTATTTGGATCCAGACAGCACAGCACAACAGCTCAGCATGAACTTACCGTTACACGTCTACCCACCTAAACATGTAACTCGGCTCTATAATGATGCAAAACATATATCTCAGTATGATGCACACCGCCAAAATTATTTTAACAGCTCAGCTAAGGCAAGTTTAAGATACATCAGCCAAAATCTCAGCATTTTAAATCAATTAACAGCAGTTACAGCTTAGAAAATAGCTTTTATTCAATAGATCTAACAAAAATCATATCAAAACATCTTAAAATAGCATATTAAACCATTCAAAACATAGTTCATAGGTTAAAGTAAACTCCCCTTACCTCAGAACGACGATTCACACTAGATCTACCGAATATTACTTGTTTTATAGCAAGATTCACCGAAGATTTGGCTTTAGAACGGAGTTTCTCCTAAGAATACCATGAACTTCTATGAGAAAGAGAAGAAGAAGAGAAACGAACGGTAAATCTAGCTTCAAACTTAAAGAAACTTACTTCAAATCCTTCAGAATAGAGGTAGGATCTCAGATCTGGCGAGAAATCTAAGTTTAGGAAGGTTTAGTATGAGAGAAATGGTAGTTTTTGGCCTTAGAACCTTTGAGAACCTTGGATAGGGGTGAAGAAATGAAAATTTCGTGTGAAGCTTCCTTTTTATAGAAAATTTTTGAAATTTACTGTTTACCGCCGGAAATACTGTTCACCGCCTTACTGTTCACGCCGAAAACACTGTTCAGGGCACTATTCATTAGATTACTCAATAATAAATATCTAGCCTGACATATTTTATGTAATTATTTATACACAAGTTTAACTTGTGAATAATTTATGTGATTTATTTAAAGTTTAAAATAAATTTAAAAAATTTGTATTTTAGCATGATTAAATATATGAAGGTGATTATTTTTACACATATGTCATTTAAATTTGTTATATTAATTATTAATTATATAAATTATGCTCAATGTCACATGAAATGCATACACAAAATTCTGAATTACTTAACTATAAAACATAAATAATAATAAAGTAATTAATTATTTTATGAAAAATTTAAAAAAAAAATAACCCACTTTAATTATTGATTGATTGTTTACGTTTTTAGTTTGATTATTTTCTCGTAGAATAATTTTGAAAATATACTCACCCTTCTATTTTCTACGCTCTTTTACATGGAAGTAAATGATAACAAAATGAATGACGACAATCCTATTATGCATTACAGAGTGTTTCGAAACTAGACAACAGGATTTTAGTATAGTTAACTAGACATTATCTTTGCTAAGAAGGAAACGTACACGTTTGGGGAAATTGACAATCCTCTGGTGGTCCCCACTAAATTTGCGAGTCTGTTACGCGTAGAAATCCAATTTCGTATGAATGGCACCCTATGTCATCTTGATTTGAATTGAAAGCCCAAGTTTTAGCTTGCCAGCCCTAACCTTTTTTCTCTTTTGATGTACATACGTAGAAATAAGGGTTATAATATATGCACTCTAACAATCACATAGAACATGTATATTAATAAATTAGTTATTTAATTAAAATAGAATAGATAACGGAGTGACTAAGTATTGAATGTGAATAAATATTTTACTCTATTTTATAAAAATATTTTTAAAAAATAAAACAATATATTTTAAATACGAATGAATAATTTTTTTAACATATTTTAAATAAGTAAAAATAAAATAGTTTTTTTCATTTATTATAATTTAATTTTAAAATTATTCAGTTTATTTATTTGACAACCGTGCTGCCACCAACAAAGAAACGGTGACGTTTAACAAAAAAAATTAAAGCAAACAGAAAGGAAAAAAACTGTGGGCATTGAAACTAGGGATTTTTGGCATGCTCGGTTGAATAAAAAAGCTTTTATTTTGAATGAGTTGTTTTCAGTTGTAAATCGACACTGCACGTGGTTAAAAAACACAGAATGTCTTCAAAATTACTACGACAATTATAATCTGATAAGCTTTGTACAGTTGTGGAGATTAAGGATATGGTTCTCTCTTCATTTCGAAGATACTTTAGTATGAGGCACCAAAGCTCCAATGTTCAGTATTTATATGATCACTGCAAAACCATCTTCTCGCCCTCTGGAACACCCGCTCCTTCGTCCCAAGCGTTGCAGAAGCTCTCTTCAATTCTAGGTACGTCTCTTTTGAAATTCTCAATGTTCAAGTTTTCTGTTTTTTTCTCTTTTTAAACTACAAAAATCTTTTTCTTTTCAATGGTCCAATTGGCCTTATGGGTGTTTTAAGTTGCGAGTACTGTGATTATTGTTGGTATGAGTTTGGTCTTTTATGTTAAATTGAAGCGTTGATTGGTTGGATTTTTACATGAGGTTTGACATTGTGATGTGTGAAGCTTCTAGGGCTGATTTGGTTTTGAAGAATGAAAATTTACTCCAATTAAGCCTTGGGAAAAGAGAGTATATTGACGAATGTTGACGAAGTAAGACCAATATAACTCTGAAAACTCCAAACTTGGACCTATAAATGTGAGTAATTTTTTTGTATTGTAATTAATCTAATAATTTTACTTCTTTTTGGAGAGGTCCAAGGTGAATTGTAGAACAGAAAAAATAGCTTTGGCCTTCTTTACATTTTGGGTTCCTTCAACTGCGTAAGCAATCTCATATTAAAATAATTTCGAAACTAAAAATGAATGTTATAATTTATTAAGAGTTGATTTGCTGAAAATTTGGCCTATTGCTGGATTCTGATGTCACTGATTTTGAGCAATTATTCAATGAAGAGAGAATATGATATTGGGAAATCGTAGCCAAGTTTGATTTATTAAGCAAAATGAACACTGGCACTGTTCACAAATCAAACAGTCCCGGATTTCATTTTGCTAAATGCTTTTATCAAAATACAGATCATTTTTCATATATATTTGAACTTCGAAGCACACATGTTGCATTGTTTTGGGATATAGATTGTTGATTTATTCATGACTTGGCAGACACTATTCAACCAGCAGATGTTGGGCTTAAAGAGGAAACTGCAGATGACGATCAAGGGCACGGATTTTTTGGTGCTAACCAACTTAATAGAGTAGATCGATGGGCTCAACCAATAACCTATGTGGACATTCATGAATGTGATAGTTTTACGGTGAGCTTTACCAATTTAGTATGCATAACAAGACATTTTTTCATATTAGTATGGTGTTGCATATCAAAGATCTTGGCTCATTAGTTGTGAGAACACAGTCAACATCCAAGGTTTCATTTGTTATGTAGTCTGCATGGTGTGTGGCTAAAAGTGTAATGCAGCAAACCAAACAGAAAAAACTGAACCAATACACCATGGCCATTTGAACATTTGGTAGTCATTTTAAATGGAATCAAGTCCATGTCAAATTCATCTTTTATGTTGAGTGTTTGAACTAAAGAGTTAAGATATCATTGGTTTTAGCCATTTTCAAGCAGTATATGAACAACATGGTGGATTTCAACCCTCTCTTGGTAGTCATATGTTAAACATCTATATTACTTATTTTCTTTGTCTTCTCCCACACTATGATACTCAACATTTATGCATTTGTATGTATGTTGTATTAGTAGACTGCCCCTTCACTGCTCATGTCTATGCCTGTGTATGTTTTGTTATATATTTTTCAATATTCTTGTCTTCTGAGTACTGGTATTTGTAGTATGATTCATAAATTCAAATCTAGCCAAGCTGTTGATTTTGTTCTTGCAATTGGGTTGATGAATTTTCTATTCTAGCATCAATTATAATGATTTTCTTGTGACATTCCAACCTATGTAAGCATTGTCAATTGGTGCAGATGTGTATATTTTGTTTTCCAACTTCTTCGGTTATTCCACTCCATGACCATCCTGGGATGACTGTATTTAGCAAACTTCTCTATGGCTCTTTACATGTGAAAGCTTATGACTGGGTTGAACCTCCTTGCATCATGGAAAGCAAGGGACCAGGATATGCTCAAGGTCTGATTGTATGTTGCATTTACTTATGAGTTACTTTATTTTCTATCTTTCCTTTTTGCTTATTTTTTATTTTTCTATAATAATAACCAAACCTTATCCCATCAGTGAAGTCGATTATATGGGTCACACAATGCCATTGAGAATGATGAAATACTAAATTCTCAAAAATAATATTTATTAATAGATCTCATTTAATAACTTCATCTAAGGTTCTTCTAGGTCTCCCTGTATCCCCTTTCACCAAATTAAAAGTCATGTCATTTATTCTCCTCACTCATGCTTCTAGTGGTCTTCTCTATGTGTGACCAAACAACCTATTTTGTATTTTTCTGTATGCGGAAAATTTTCAATAAATTGAGATTGGTCTTGTTAATTGGTGCTGTCTAACATGAATTTGAGAAATTTTGGTGCATGATGGTTCCTCTATGTATTAATCGTTAAATATAATAGAAAAATAATGAATAGTTAAGATGACTTTCATTTAACTGGTTGCACTGGTTATGCAAGAAGAATGAAAATTTTGCTACTTAATCTCTATATTAATAAGCCAATTTTAATGATCTTGTGAGTAAATCCCAACACTATGAAACAAAATTTAGCACAAATTATGAGGGCTGAAGCAATAGATGTTTATGGATCAACCATGTTGGCAGCGATGAGAGGTTTCAGTGATGAAGAAGTGGAGGTTGTCAATTGGGGAATCTGAGTAATTCCTGAATCTTTGTGCAATTGGATATGAGTTTGTCGAGGTGGGAGGGATGGATGGTGGTGAAGATGAAGACTACGAATGTGGTGACTTTGGGTGGAACCTTTGCCTCTCCTCCACCCTGTTCACCACTGAACCCCTCCAACAGAAAACTCCTTCTAAGGGTTAAGGTAGTCTTTCTCCTATGAGCTAGCGTTTGGGAATGAGTTAGGCCCAAGTTTCGTAACATGGTATTAGAGCCTATTCAATTTGAACATTGGGCTGTCCATAGATGTCCAGGGTTCACTCATGCAGATGTCCAGTCCTAGGCATGAGAGAGGTGTGTTAAGATGTCCTGCATTGGTTGGGAATAGAGATAAAATACTCCTTATAAGGGTTAAGGTAGTCTTCCTCCTATAAGCTAACTTTTGGGAATGAGTTAAGCCCAAGTTTCTTAACAAGCTCCTATACCCCATGTCCTCCATTGCAAGGTTAATTCTCAAAGACCTTCTTTACTCTCTGCAGCGCTGTTCATCACATCTGTCAATGACAAAATCAATTATGATTCCCTAATTGAAGAGAAAATCAAAGCCATTCTCTACACGCTTTCAAGACATGATCGTAAAGGAGGTTGGTGAGTTTAGTTGCATATGAAGGTGTAAGGAACTGATTCAGTTCTTGAAGAAAGGAAACAGAAATACTGACTTCTCTTTTATTGAATATACTTTGTTGGGCAGAATTACCCAATCTAGAGGAAGAATCAAAGGAATACAAGAACATCCCAGAACTTAGAGAGTTTGGTCTGGGATGAGGATGAGATTGGTGATTAATGCTGTCATGATAGATGTTGGATAAGCTGGTTGATGATTTGCCGAGATATGCATTAGTTTCACCCTTTGTTTAGAGGGACTAAACAATAATTCTAGAAAAACAAGATACCTGTTATTGCAGGTCAGATAAACTTTGTACATTGTGGTCCTGGTTAGTACAGGTCCATGTTAGAACTCACCCTTGTTAATTTGTCATTTGTACGTTGAAGACATGTTCCCACTACATTGCATATTATCCTCCTTAGGAACCTTATGTTAGTAACAGGCCCCCAATTAGAAAAGTTTACGAAAGAAAAGGCAGGAAGGTGGACTCAGGCCCGAAAGAATAGATTAGCCCATTAATTAGTTAAGCCCGTTATAAATAAGGGAATTTGTTATTGTAAAGGATATGTTGTTTTTGGGAGAAAAGTAATAATTGGTTTTGGGAGAGATTAGGCTCTCGAATTCCTAAAAAACATTCGTGTATTGGTTTCCAACAGTTTGGGTAAATTGTCCCAACTGAGTGTATTCAATAAAGATTTGTTCATATTTTCTTTTCTGTCCTTTTACATTCAGACCAGTTCCTTACACCTTATTTGACCAAAATTATTCAAATTTTGTAGTCTAGGTCTTCCTCAATTTAATAAATAATGCTTTTGCTTTAAATGTCAATCTCTTCCCATATACGTCTGGATATTGCTTTTGTTCTGGTTAGATGGGAATCATTACGACCCAGACATGAAGATTAAGTCAAAGCTCATAGACTTGGTGGGTGATTGGTGTAAATAATATTTTGGGCAATATTTTCTATCAAATCTTCACTATTTAACATATACTGAAAGACTAGACTTTGTTTCTTCTGACACTTTTACTCATTGGGTTGATTGTTTATTTTTGGTTTATCTAATATAATTATGATACAAAACCCACCTACTTTTTGCGATTTGTTTCATCTCTCTACTATCACTTTATTTGGTTAATCATTGGGCCGAGATGCAGACAGTTCAATATGCCTTTCCCTTTGTCTGCTAATTAAGGGGGAATAAACAAAGAGTTAAACCCAAAGAAAATAAAATGGAAACTAGAGAAGAAGAATTAAAGAAATAAAACTTCACTGAAAAACAGAACAGAAAATGAAGAATAAAATTCTCCCCCAGGGTTTCCCTTCACAAAGGATCTCTCCTTTCATTTTTTACAAACAATCAATTTCACTCGACACCCTTATTCAATCTGATTTCTCCTATTTATAGCCAATCTCTCTTAACTAACTAATGACTAATAACCGTCCCCATTCAACTTATTAGTGCAACTAACTATTGACTAATAACTGTCCTTATTCCCTCTCATTATACATCCTAACACAATGAAAGTTGTAGCAAACTTGCAATGCTAGTCCAGATCAATTAAAACAATGATTAAAATCTCCTAAGAGAAATTGCTTACAAGTAATAAATAGTTTCATTATGCCATGTTTAAAGTGATTTAGTTGGCTACTTTAGTCCTTTAGGACTTTAATTTACATTATTATATATAATAATCAGAAAATCATGTTATGAACATCACACAATGTGAAAATAATCATATTTTAATGGCTTTTACATCCTGCTCTTCTGCATCCGTACTTTGAAGCTACTTGTTTATTGAATTTATTATTTTGTTTCAATTTTTTGTTGATGCAGTAAGACTAGCAAAGTTAGCAGTTGACAAAGTTATGAATTCACCGTGTGAGACGTCAGTTTTATATCCAAAACATGGTGGAAATCTGCACTGTTTCACAGCCGTGACCCGTTGTGCTGTGCTAGACATTCTCACACCTCCTTACAGAGAAGATGAAGGAAGGAAGTGTACTTACTATCATGATTATCCATATTCAACATTCTGTGAGCAACTGCTTATTTATGACTTGTTTTCTATACATCATAATAAACAGCAGTGATCATGGTTTTAATTGTGGACCACATAAAATGATGTGACCACAACATCTCTGATATGGTGGTTCCTGTAACCACATTAGGCCATGGTTGCGGATCGCATCAGCCACAGTTAGCCTGCAACCACAATCTAAAATGTTGGGATTAGTACTATATGCCCTTGCATCAAAACAAGTCGTGATTAAGGATTGATAAGTTCAATTACAATTCTTAATTCATAATTAAAACTTCAATAGGCCCCTGCATCAAAATAAGTCATGATTGAGGATTGATAAGTTGAATTACAATTCTTAGTTAGAAACCTTTCACTATAGTTAGAGACATATTAGTATGTCACATCACATTTATAATGTTATATCACTATTTGAGCCAGAGTTAACTAACAAATTCTAATAGAGGGGCTAAATGAATGGCAAATTATATATTCAAAGATTAATTTTAATATTTTCTTATTGCATAAACCAAATTGAAGGACTCCGTGTATTTCAAAAACTAATTTGAGGTTTTAGTCTAGAACTCATTCATTCTTTTAGGTAGGTGAGTCAATTTAGATTTCTGAGTGATTTTCTTGATGATATGGTTCTGCAGCAGCAGGAAATACACCTCTATGTGATGGCGGGGAGGAGGAATATGCTTGGCTTGCAGAGATAGAATCACCCAGTGATCTTTATATGCGCCTGGGGGTATACGCTGGCCCAGCTATTCTTCAGCCTTAGTTCTGCCTGTGAAGGGTGGATGATATTAATGCCTGAAAATATATGTATCCTCTTTTGCTCTTGGAAGCTAGTGACAAGAGGATCTAAAATGCTGATGCATGGCATGTTGTGGTTAATTTATGCCTCCTTTTACTGGATGCAAATTTTGAGCAAAGATTTTGGTGCATAAATATGCAGTTTATCGTTAACTTGGGATGTGATAGAACACTGTTAATTAATTGATAGGAAATGTAACAAAACAAAGAAATACAGCAATTAATGTTGTTGTCCCAGAATTTTAGAAACTCCTACAGAGCATGATCTCTGTCCTAAGAGAAGAAAAATGCAATTATAACTGTCTTTTACCCAGAAATTACACATTCTATAACGTAATTGCCTACTCCAATAACTGCACATTACATTCTAGTACATAACTACATAGCTCCAATAACTGTCACATGACAGATTTAATTTTGATTCCTACGCCTCCTAGAATAAACCTGTAACACAGGTTGTTTGATTGGATTTGTGACCCTACCGTCACCCCTCTCCTGAAGATAAACCTTGTCCTTAAGGTAGAAATTGGGAAATTGTTGCTGCCTAACAGATTGATCTTCCCATGTAGCATGCTTAGTACACTGTACCAAATACTGCTTGATCTTTTTGCCTTTATTTGTCACCAACTGGCTATCTAAAATTTATTCTGGCTGCATCTCATCCACTGGTTGAATAATCAGATTAGGGGGCAATCCAGGTTCAGCAAAATAGGATCCAACAGCCTTCTGAAACTGAGAAACATGAAATGCCGGATGAACTTTGGAAGTAGCTGGAAGCTGCAATTTGTAGAAATTTCTCCATGTTTCTCTACAATCTGAAAGGGACCATAAAAGCATGGTGCTAACTTTTGGTTGATCCGGTTTGCCACTTGTTGTTTATAAGGCTGAATCTTAAAAAAAAATTCAATCTCCCACTGCAAATTAATGATATTTTCTCGTTTTATCTACATAACACTTCATCCGGGCTTGTGCTCTAGTTATATGGTATTTGAGTTGATTGAATTCTTCATCCCTTTCTTGCAATTCACGTGCAGCTATCTTCACTTTTGTTTTCCCTTCGACAAAATGAATAATATTGGGTGGGAGTATTCCCTACACAGCTTGAAAAGGTGTTGTATCAGTAGAAATATGGAAGATGGTATTGTACCATAATTTTGCCCAAGGAAGCCACAAGGACCAAGTCCTTGGCTATTCTGAAGTAGAACACAAGTAAGAGTTGAATTCTATTGATGCTTTTCAAAACTATATAGGGATTTCTCTTTAATAAAAGGAAACACAATAAATCTTTCAACTTAAAAAGGAAATTTATATCTTAAAATAATGAAATATATGACAATACTTAACTACCCAAACCAGGCCAAATAAAATAGAAAACAAAATATCTAAATAATAAGTCTATTTACATAACTTCTAATCAACAATTCACAACTTGAATTTATCTATCAGTTTGTGGGTGATACAAAGAAGACAATTTTAAGTCAGTGTCTTACAATTTAAACAACTTTTTCCAAAATTTACTTACAAATAAAGAGTCATGATCACATACAATAAATAGATTGAGCAATTTCATGCAACTTAATTACCTCTAAAAAAATAGTAGTCATACTTTGAGTTGTGAATGGGTATTTTAATTTTATGAAGTGGCTATACTTAGACAACTAATCAACAACCACAAGATTTGGGAAGGCTAGTGATGAAGGCCATAGAAATATCCTTCCATATCCTTGTATGTGTTAAGAGAGAAGGTAAAATGAAAGAACATTGATGGAATATGTGTGTTTCAACTCTACAATAATGTATATATAGCAATATCTACAAAATTTTCAATTACCTATTTACATAATTACAAAGATACACTTGTCTTATTACTATTATTACATATTTAACACTCCTTCTCAAGTTAGAACATATAGGTCATGCACCAAGTTTAATAAATATATAACTAATATGAGAACCTCTTAATGATTTAGTGAGGACATCTACTAGTTGATCATTCAAATTGACAAAGCTAGTGATGATGTCTTCGTATAGAATTTTCTCTCTAATAAAGTGACAATCTATCTCAATATGTTTTGTTCTTTCATGGAATACTGGATTTGAGGCAATATGCAGGACTATTTGATTATTTCAAATGAGTTTCTTTTCATAATCTCTCCGAATCTTAGTTCTTTGAGCAGTTGTTTCAACTAGATAAGTTCACATATAACTATGGCTATGACTTGATATTCTGCTTCTGCACTTGAATGATAACTACACTAGATAAGTTCATATGTAGTTGAGGCCATGCCCTAAGAGATTGTTTAAGTCCATACAAAGATTTTTGCATACGACAAACATATCTTAAAAGACTCCCTATGAGCAACTAATCTAGGAGGTTGCTTCATATATACTTCTTCCATGATATCACCATAGAAAAAGGCATTCTTAATATGAAGCTGGCAAAAGGGTCAGCAACGGGTTCCAACCATGGATAAAAATAAGTAGATAGAGGTCATTTTAGCCATTGTAGAAAATGTATCACCATAATCTAAACCAAAGACTTGGGTATAATCTTTGGCACACCAAACAAGCCTTAAGACGATCAATATGGCCATCAGGGCCAACCTTGATGGTGTAAATCCATTTGCATCCAACAATAGGCTTCCCCGAAGGAAAAGGAGCAAAGTCTCAAGTACCACTATTCTAAAGTGCACATATTTCATTGATCATAACTTATCGCCAACCAAGATGAGAGAGAGCATCACCTGTATTTTTAGGAAAATAAATAGACAACAACGAGGAAAGACAAGTATAACGGAAAGAGGACAAATGATGATATGTTGAAGAAACATAATGAGGAGAGGGATTATAAGTGGAGAGTATACCTTTCCAAAGAACAATAGGAAAGTCAAATTCAAGAGGCAAGGTAGTTGATGCCAAAGGTAAGTCAGAAGAGGATGTATGGTTCCATTTATGGTATACTTGCAAAGGACACTAAAGGGAACTATTTAGAAGATATGCTATCTGCAATGGGTGGAAAATAATAGGAATAGGAGGAAGAGACGAGGGAAGTGAGAAGGGAATAGCGACTCTATTGATGTTGTTGGCAATCCAAATCATGTGATTTCCAACAGAAAGGTCATTGAAGTAGTACTGACTATGAACAGTAACTCCAATGATGAACATTATGCGATCAACATTAATTTCAATAGTTAATAATACTCGGTGATGAACTATGAGAGGTGGAGAGAAGACCTAGAAACCAAAATTGAAGTGTGGTTTCAAGAAAGGTAAAAAGAAGAAATGTGGGTTTAACTCACTCCCAAAAGCTAGCTCATAAGAGGAGGACTACCCAAACTTTTATAAGGAGTATTCTAGCTCTATTCCTACCCATTGTGAGATATCTTAACACCCCTTTTCACATTCAGAACTGGACATCTGATGCCTGAAGTTTGTAGGACTTGACAGGCCAACAGGATTGGAACACACATAATTCATCACATGCTTTCTTGTTTTCTCTCATCTTAACACATATTTAATAGTAGGAATAAGCAATGGCTGCAGCAAATCACTTAGAGTAATGGTCATAATGTTGTCATTGACGTGTCACAAGATCACACAAACTCCTTGACAAATTTCTTCATGCTTACCAAATACACATTTCTAATCAATCTTTTGTATGTTCGAAGATAACCAAAGTGTCCACTACTAGTAGAAGAGTTGAACTCTTCAAATAATATAGAAATGAGAGAGGATTTTGAATGGATCATTAACTTGTTTGTATAATAAAATTCCATTGCGTACAGAATAATGTGGTTAAGCTACTAAACTTTGTCTTTAAGTTAGAGATAATTTTTTGTAATATAGGATCTTGATGAACTTCCACATATATGTCATGTCCTTGAAGCCAAATTGGAGTAGAAATGATAGTTATTAGTTCAACAACTTCATGAATTATTGAAAGTGCATTTGTTGTACTATTCTCTTTCTTGTAAACTATATCAAAATAAATCTTAATTTAGCTATCCAAAATTGTTGGTAAATTGTAGTAATGTGTTATTCCAACAAATGTTTAAGGCATTTTTGGTTGGCACTAATTTATTGCAATTGCTATTTGACAACGTCTTGCTAAAGAAAGCAATATCCATTGCTACATGCATCACATTTTATTTCAAAAGGAATATTAAAATTAGGATAACAAGCATTGTTGAAGAAGTAATATACCTTTTAAGGTAGAAAAAGGCTTGTGGAGTTGATGGCCCTTGATCGAAATTATTTTTCTTGGTTAATCCAGTCAAAAAATCTTTTAATCTTATCATAATTAAAAATAAATTTTCTATAGTAACCAGTTAGACCCAAACATCCTCAAACTCCTTTAAAATTTTTTGGTATGGGACATTTCAAAACACTAGTTACCTTTGTTGGGTCCACTGCTATTTCCAAGTGAGAAGTAGTATGACCCAAATACTCAATTTGCTACTTCTAAAACTACATTTATTTCTATTAGCAACAAGCTGATTTTATTTTATTTTTTGGTAAGACTGCTAAAACTTATTGTAAATGTTACAAATGAGTAATCTAATATACATTGTGAACCAACACATCATAAAGAAAAATAAAAAATAAATTCATAAAAAAGGTTTAAAATTTTGATTCATGGCTGCTTGAAAAGTGACAGGGAATTAGATAACCAAAAAGCATTACCAAAAATTCATAATGTTCTTGTGGGTACGAAATATTGTTTTAGATATATCTTCCTCCTTAATTTGTATTTAATTATAACGAATTTTAAATCACATTTAGAAAAATAAGAAGTCGTATATAGGTCTTCTATCAATTCATCTACTACAAGAATGGAGTACTTATCAAGTACAATTACCTTATCAAAAGCTCAATAATCAATGAACATAAGCAATGAAGAGTCCCATTTCTTTACCAAAATAATAGGACTAGAGAAAATGTCAGGCTTGTGATTTATTAGAGTAATCTATAATATTTTATACTTGTTAAATGTTAATTGAAGGATTAATTGGTATTTGAATAGATTTAGATGGAGTTTGAAATTATATTTAAAAAAAAAAGTGAACAGTACTGTATGAACAGTAAAACCGTCTGTGAACAGTGAAACTGTGTACAAACCGCCTATGAACAGTAAAAAATCGCATATGTACAGTGACTGCTGACATCATCGGTGACATCATCATGACGTCACAAACGCGTACAGTGCGGGTACAGTACGCGTGCGTAGTATTTTCGACGTGAATAGTGCCCTGAACAGTGTTTCTAGCATGAACAGTAAGGCGGTTAACAGTGTTTCCAGCGGTGAATAGTAAATTTTGAAAATTTTCTATAAAAAGGAGG